CTGACTGTGTGTATCTAGCTGTGTGTGTGTCAGTGTGTGAATCTGGCTGTCTGCGTATATGGCTGTGTGTGTATCTGGCTTTGTTTCAGTGTGTGTATTTGACTGTGTGTGTATTTGACTATGTGTGTGTATATCTGGCTGTGTTTATCTAGTTGTGTGTTTCAGAGTGTGAATCTGGTTGTGTGTGTGTGTGTTTCTGTTTGTGTGTACTCTTGTATCTGGCACTGTCAGTATCTGGCAGTGCATCTGACTGTGTGTGGAGACCCCAAAAGATGCTTGCACCAGGGCCCTCTCTACATTAATTCTGTCACTGGGTTTGGGTGGAGACCGTGATTGCATGCCAGTGAGTTGGGGGTTGGGAGTGGGGGGGGGGGAGGATTACGGGGGCCCACGCAAATGCTTGCCCAGGGTCCAATCATTATTAAAGACGGCCCTGATTTTACAGTACCTTTTTAAGTAGAGTTAAAATGTTTCAATACAATAATTGCATTTAGTACTGATACAGAAAGATGTACAGCACAATATACACAGTAAATAGATTTCCTCTCCTGGCTTTTAAAGCTTTTTTTTTTTTCTGGCAGTTAATTGTCTAAATAATTACCCTTACCTTAACTATAAAGATAAGGGGTCTTTCTTATAATGGATTGGCCTGAAAGAAAATTTCTCTTGTTACACTGGACAATCTGTTACCATGACAGCCGTTATTAGTAACTGCAAATGGATTTGCTGTTTAATTTTGAAAATATCTTCCATTTTTTTTTCCTTTGGGATAAATGCTTAAGATTATTTTTAGTTTTTCAATTAAATTAACCAATATACATGCAATTGTATGACATGTAAATGTAGGTGGAAAATATATTGTCCATTTTTCTGAATTACCCACATCATTTTATTTTTCTTTAATGGCAATGCATTTATATATTTATATTTTAGCATTTTCCTAAAAGATTTTAATTTTTAAATATCATTTTGCCATTGTCTCCAGTGCATTTAATTATGCTTTTTTCTCTTCCAATTCTTTTTTCATGCCGTATCTCTTGAGTTTTTATTATTTTAAAGATTTCTTGCTTATCGCATATTTTTATGGATATTTTTACTACAATTTTATTGCTATCCCTTATACCATCGTGCATAATTAGCTTTATATTAAACTTTAAGTTGCAAGCTATGAAAATAACTCCTGTAAATTAATTTTAAGAATTCTCTGCTGCATTTTGCTTTATAGACTTTACTCTTGTGTGTTTTATTAATTTAAAAGATTTATCATTGCATATTTTGTTTTCATTATAGACCCTCAATATTTCACTGTTATGTGTTTTTTTATTTTTTATAAATATTATATTTACTCTGTTCAAGTTGTAATACTATTTTTTTTACAACATCATTTTTTTATGCCTGACACATTCTGCAAAAATGATCCTATATAATAAATTTGGATTCCAAAATTTCTTCTCTCTAAGGGGAAATTTTTTTTTTTTTCAAGGGGATTTTTTTTTTGTAGAGTTTCTATTTATATATATGTCTGTCTGTCTATCTAGCCATCCAGCTTTCTAACTTACTATGTTCTTATTACACGTTTTATAGAAAACATAACACATTAGAAGTAAAAAATGGGTGAAGACATAATGAAAGTTAAAAATGTATAATAACAGAATAAAAAAAAAAGGGACAAGGGGCCACTGCAGCCGGGCCCCCTGGAGTGACAGGTGTGGTCACAGTTACACAAAACAAGATACACCTAGAAAAAACAAAAGCAGAGAACACTCATAGGGAAACACCGTTTAGTAGAGATGTCCCTGCTGTAAATATTGCACTCACAGAATAGAGGAGTAGTACAAGCCCATCAAGGTATCTTTAGATCTTGCAATGAAATTCCTCAAGGGTACATGCAGAAAAAAGAAGAACTGGACGTAGTGTGAAATCTTAATAATATAAAAAACACGCTTTAATTGAAACACTTACAAAAAGTGGAAAATAAAAAAGCTCATCAAAGATCTGTGTCCCTCTCTCCAAGATGGTGAATGGAAGGAGCAGGTTACAGAAATTGCAGGCAGCTCTACGCGTTTCGTCTATATAATAGACTTCATCAGGAGCAATAATAATAAAACATGTAGTACAATCAAATGAAATACATCAATAAAAGTCCTATGTCTTCTATCTTCTTTTAAAAGTCCCTTTTGCCATATTCCACGCCCTGTCCACCAATCCGTGTGTTCTAAAACAGCTGTTCTGAGTTCTCTTGCGTCCAAGTCCATATAACGACTTTCGCCTAGCCGTTGTGGAACGTACATGTGTTCCACCAGTCCGGAAGAGATCTTCTTTCTCTCCATGTCCCTCTGAATACGTCATCCAGTCCTTGTTGCTCTTAGGACTGAGGCCCTTCTTGACGGTGGCATGCACCTTCAGGCACAACTTGCCCACCTGCAGGCTGCTGCCGTGGCTGCTGCCCTTTGCCTGGTGGCCTGAGTACTGTTAGGCACAGGGTGAGGCCTCCTTCTCGGTACAGCCCCTCTGGCTCCCTGCTGGTGATGTACCACAGTAGGAGCCCCAGCCCCAGCTTGCAGGGTTGCGGGGCTGTTCTTCCCACTTCCCTTGGCCCGGTGACCAAAGTTTGGATTCACATGGATCGCAGGGCGGCACCCGCTGGCCGCAAGACAGTGGTGAGTGCAAGTCCCAACCTGCGGGCCTCGCATCCCGCAGCTGCGAATCGGATTGAAGATCTTCCTGCATTGGCTGCTGCATCCTGGGCCACACAACCCTCCAGCTCTCCTTACGCTCATCTGTCGGGCCTTGAGGAGGTTGAGTAGGCTGTGGGTATGTCTGCGGAGGGCCTGGGGCCTGTCTAGGGAGTCCAGAGGTCGGGGGCTTGGTAGGGTTCCATGGGACACTGTCTCCAAATGGGCAGTGGGTCTGTCAGCCCTTCTCCCTCTTCCCTCCCTGGGCCTATTCTCTCCCCTGAGCCAGGGGTTCTTCCTGGGAGTGGGCCTATTGCAGCTGGGGGGTCAGGAGGGGACCTCTCTTACCTCTAGTCTCTCCGCAGGCGTCTCCTATTCTGCCCATGGATGTGTCTGCCTCGGTCCCTCCCGTGGCTCCTGGTGCTCCGGATGCTGGCCAGCATTTTTCTCCTGTGGTTCCTTTGTTACTTTCTACTCCGGCATCGAGTGGTGAGTGCCCCCCCGTAGGGGATCTGAGGATGGTTGGGGGCGCAAGTGGTAGGAGCGCTGGCGTTCTTTCAGGGCAAGATCTGGGTGCGTTTGTCTCTTCATTGCCAAATTTGTTAGATTGCTGGGTGCATTGCACAGGGGTTACTCCGGCAGCTGAGTTGTTGGGGTTGGACGGTCAGGTTCTGGAGGTATTGGGGGGGGTCAGCTACGGCGGGATCATCCCCAGTGGGATCGGCTAGTCCATCCTCGTCCATCTTGGTGACTGCCCCAGCGGTTCCAGATGCGCCGGTTTCTTCAACCACGCCTGCGGGCTTCGGGACTGCGGATTTGGGTCCCACTAGTGCAGGGGAGGTGGCACAGGTGGTGCATGGGGCAGCATACATGTGCTGGTCAGGTCTTCTGGGCCTACACCTGAAACCTGACATTTGGGAGAAAATCTGGAAGGGTGAATGTAACGGATCACCTGGCACCCCGACTGGGTACCTCCGTTGAAGGATGCTCCTAGCGCTTCCTGAGGACTCCAAGCACTCTGGCAGACACCACAATCAACGAACCGTAGGAGCATGTGAATGCTCTCAAGCATATGAATGCTGTAGACAGTTGAATAGGAACCATACGAATAGGTTTACTCTCCTAGCAGTCAAACTGGAACAGCATACAATAAATCCTTCCCCCAATAATGAGACGACACTTCACTTTGAGGGTTAAAACAGGAACTCCCTGTACTGTCACATACAGTCTCTTTTATTCCCAATCCACAAACATAGTACAGCCCACAGGGCGTTACAAAACAGCCAATCAATCCATACAATACACCCAGACACTCCCACACAAAATCCTCCCCTCTGGCTGTGATATGATTACTGAACACAATGGGTAATCTAATTATCACAGCCAGAGAAATACAGTTTCATAAAACACATCACAGGGACCCCAAAACATGCAATAACCCCATAAAAAGTATATCCTTGGAACTGGGGGATCTGGGTGAACCACATATCCCAAATTCACCCAGATCCGTTCAGTACTTTGGAAAATACAGTTTAATGCAGATTCTGCAGAACATATACAGGCTAAATAAAAAACAATCACTGTATAATGTGTCCCCTGCTGTATAGTCCAAAACCACCGCACGATGTCTCTGTGCAACAAATACTGGCGAGATGGCACCGTGTTGAAAAGTCCACACAGTGTCTGTGAGTTAAAATGGCCGCCATCCATTGTTCTCACCATGTGCTTCTGATACAGGAAATGGTGGCCACCCAGTAACTCCACAGTATGTCCCCAGATGGTTCTTAAAAGGGCTAGCAGCAGCACAACACAAATCCATTATGCCCAAATCATGTCTTTAAAGGGCAATACATCCCAGGGGCCATAGTCACATGGTAGGAGGCTGGCAACCAGGCTTCTCCAGTGCATAGTGGCGAGGTTGGTTCCGCCACACTTCTCCCCTTTACCAATCAGACTAACAGGGTATCTGACCTCCTGCCGGTCAGTGCCCTTGTTAGTCCAGCAGCCCACCCACAAAACACAATCAGTAATACAGCCCACCCACAATAACTGGCTACTACACCTGGGTAGAGGAGAACTTTGTCCGTGTCCAGGTGCCTCACCATGGCTGTGTGGGTGACTGGTAAGCGTACTGGGTGGGTTGCTGAGTGGGCAGAGACCAGCGGTACTCTGTCCTGGTGCCAGCACTACCACGGGAGTAGTCTGGTTGGAGCCTGGTTGCTGGAGGGGGAGACAGACTGTCTCCCCTTTGCCTAAACAGTCCTGCTGCTGGGGGACAGGACCGACTGTCCCTACCCCTGGTGGTGCATGTGCAGAGACCACTGTCCCATCTGCACTGTTGTGGAGATTACTGTCTCCCCTTGGTGGGCTAAGCTGCCGCTGGGGAGAGGGGGTAACAAGCTCCTCTCCCATACATACTTTCAGCCGCTGGGGAGAGGGGATAACAAGCTCCTCTCCCTGACACTCTCTCTGCTGTTGAAGGGGGAGATCGACTGTCTCCCCTTTCAATAATTTGTCCTGTTGCTGGGGAGAGGTGATAACTGGTTCCTCTCCCTGGAACACTCTCTGCTGTTGGAGAAGGGGACCAACTGTCTCCCCTTTTAATATATTGTCCTGCTGCTGGGGAGCGAGACCGACTGTCTCCGCTTCCTGCAGGACACACTGCCGCTGGGGAGGAAGGACGGCACCTTCAGCTCCCTGGGTACACACTGCCGCTGGGGAGGAAGGACGGCACCTTCTGCTCCCTGGGGTACACACTGCCGCTGGGGAGGAAGGACGACACCTTTAGCTCCCTGGGATACACACTGCCGCTGGGGAGAAAGGACGGCACCTTCAGCTCCCTGGGACACACACTCGCTGGGGAGGAAGGAAGACACCTTCAGCTCTCTGGGACACACACTGCCGCTGGGGAGGAAGGACAACACCTTCTGCTCCCTGGGGTACACACTGCCGCTGGGGAGGAAGGACGACACCTTTGGCTCCCTGGGACTCACACTGCCGCTGGGGAGGAAGGACGGCACCTTCAGCTCCCTGGGGTACACACTGCCGCTGGGGAGGAAGGACGGCACCTTCAGCTCCCTGGGATACACACTGCCGCTGGGGAGGAAGGACGCACCTTCTGCTCCCTGGGGTACACACTGCCGCTGGGGAGGAAGGACGACACCTTTGGCTCCCTGGGATACACACTGCCGCTGGGGAGGAAGGACGGCACCTTCTGCTCCCTGGGACACACACTGCAGCTGGGGAGAAAGGACTGACACCTTCAGCTCCCTGGGATACACACTGCGCTGGGAGGAAGGGCGGCACCTTCAGCTCCCTGGGACACACACTGCCGCTGGGGAGGAAGGACGACACCTTCAGCTCCCTGGGACACACACTGCCGCTGGGGAGGAAGGACAACACCTTCTGCTCCCTGGGGTACACACTGCCGCTGGGGAGGAAGGACGACACCTTTGGCTCCCTGGGACTCACACTGCCGCTGGGGAGGAAGGACGGCACCTTCAGCTCCCTGGGGTACACACTGCCCCTGGGGAGGAAGGATGGCACCTTCAGCTCCCTGGGATACACACTGCCGCTGGGGAGGAAGGACAGCACCTTCTGCTCCCTGGGGTACACACTGCCGCTGGGGAGGAAGGACGACACCTTCAGCTCCCTGGGATACACACTGCCGCTGGGGAGGAAGGACGACACCTTCAGCTCCCTGGGACACACACTGCCGCTGGGGAGGAAGGACGGCACCTTCAGCTCCCTGGGACACACACTGCCGCTGGGGAGGAAGGACGACACCTTTGGCTCCCTGGGACACACACTGCCGCTGGGGAGGAAGGACAACACCTTCTGCTCCCTGGGGTACACACTGCCGCTGGGGAGGAAGGACGACACCTTTGGCTCCCTGGGACTCCTTTTTGGCCAAATCTACTAGAGATTGCAGGTATTCTCCTACTAGTTTCCTGGCGAGCTGCACGGCTCTCTCTGGGGGGTTGGGTCCAAAGGTAGACAGCACCTCATTAACCTCTCTGTCAAACTCCTCCTGAGTGTAGTCATACGCCATGCTTGCTCTGCTGAAGTTAGTTCTTTTGTAGATAGGGTCGCTGTACGGGTACTAGCGTTGCCCTCAATTTGTAAATCCACGAACTGTGTCTCCGAGCTGCTTTACCTCGCACTAGGACGCCATCCCACCGCTGCCACCAATGTAACGGATCACCTGGCACCCCGACTGGGTACCTCCGTTGAAGGATGCTCCTAGCGCTTCCTGAGGACTCCAAGCACTCTGGCAGACACCACAATCACCGAACCGGAGGAGCATGTGAATGCTCTCAAGCATATGAAGGCTGTAGACAGTTGAATAGGAACCATACGAATAGGTTTACTCTCCTAGCAGTCAAACTGGAACAGCATACAATAAATCCTTCCCCCAATAATGAGACGACACTTCACTTTGAGGGTTAAAACAGGAACTCCCTGTACTGTCACATACAGTCTCTTTTATTCCCAATCCACAAACATAGTACAGCCCACAGGGCGTTACAAAACAGCCAATCAATCCATACAATACACCCAGACACTCCCACACAAAATCCTCCCCTCTGGCTGTGATATGATTACTGAACACAATGGGTAATCTAATTATCACAGCCAGAGAAATACAGTTTCATAAAACACATCACAGGGACCCCAAAACATGCAATAACCCCATAAAAATTCACCCAGATCCGTTCAGTACTTTGGAAAATACAGTTTAATGCAGATTCTGCAGAACATATACAGGCTAAATAAAAAACAATCACTGTATAATGTGTCCCCTGCTGTATAGTCCAAAACCACTGCATGATGTCTCTGTGCAACAAATACTGGCGAGATGGCACCGTGTTGAAAAGTCCACACAGTGTCTGTGAGTTAAAATGGCCGCCATCCATTGTTCTCACCATGTGCTTCTGATACAGGAAATGGTGGCCACCCAGTAACTCCACAGTATGTCCCCAGATGGTTCTTAAAAGGGCCAGCAGCAGCACAACACAAATCCATTATGCCCAAATCATGTCTTTAAAGGGCAATACATCCCAGGGGCCATAGTCACATGGCAGGAGGCTGGCAACCAGGCTTCTCCAGTGCATAGTGGCGAGGTTGGTTCCGCCACAATGTGGCTAGAAGATGCCTACCAGGCGCTCTGGTGGTATGGGGCACAATACCTGCCCTGGAAAGCCGAGCATGACAAGCCAGAGGGAGAGGAGTTTGATGGTCCTAGCTTGTTATGGGAGACTTTTGCAGAGCCTGAGTTTGGGAGCCCTACACAAGCCCGGTTCAGTGATCTCTTTGAGTGGAGGGAGAGCAGGTATGACTGGGACGACACTCACGAAATTGAGCAAGACCTGGTCCACCTGGTGACCCAAGAGATGGAGCTGGAACAGGGTTACCAAAATCTGTTCCACTCCAGTGAGAAGGCTCAGCAGGGAAGTGGAGACCCAGATCCAGACCCATTCAGCTGGGAAGATATTGTGGAGTGTTACTGGGAAGAACCCCAGGTGGCCGGTGGAGATGGGACCGAGGTCTCTCCACCGGTCCTGCAGGGAATTGGGAGCCCAGTCTCCATTCCCCAGCGGCCGTGTGATTTATTGGGAATTGGGAGCCCAGTCTCCACTCCCCAGCGGCAGTGTGATATGCCGGGAATTGGGAGCCCAGTCTCCAATCCCCAGCGGCAGTGTAAAGTGCAGGGAGAGGAGAGCAGCTGGGGGAACTGGGGGATCTGGGTGAACCACATATCCCAAATTCACCCAGATCCGTTCAGTACTTTGGAAAATACAGTTTAATGCAGATTCTGCAGAACATATACAGGCTAAATAAAAAACAATCACTGTATAATGTGTCCCCTGCTGTATAGTCCAAAACCACCGCACGATGTCTCTGTGCAACACATACTGGCGAGATGGCACCGTGTTGAAAAGTCCACACAGTGTCTGTGAGTTAAAATGGCCGCCATCCATTGTTCTCACCATGTGCTTCTGATACAGGAAATGGTGGCCACCCAGTAACTCCACAGTATGTCCCCAGATGGTTCTTAAAAGGGCCAGCAGCAGCACAACACAAATCCATTATGCCCAAATCATGTCTTTAAAGGGCAATACATCCCAGGGGCCATAGTCACATGGTAGGAGGCTGGCAACCAGGCTTCTCCAGTGCATAGTGGCGAGGTTGGTTCCGCCACAGTGAACTTGTGGAAATTTTCTCCCTGCTCTCGTTGGAGGACTTACCTCTCCGGACAAGGATGCTAAGGAATCAGAGATAGAGAGGGAACAGCTTAGTTTTAGGAAAATTACAAAGCCTTTTGGCAACAGCCTTTTCTATCCTGGCCAGTGTCATAGGGGAGAAGGCCCCTGCCAAGTGCTCGGCCCTCTTCTGCTACCAGGATACAATTTGGAATGCGCGTCGGGTGTACGGAAGCCTTGGGTGGTGACGGTATGATGAACAGTCCGTCAACAGCTCGCAGTGTGCCATGCGGAGTGGTGGGACCAGATGGATATCAGGCTATGGCTGGCATTTATGATACACCAAGGGAGCTTAATGTCCGTTCTCGGGGGGGGGGGTGCGGCAGGGACACAGTCTGCGTCGGCCTGTTCCTGGTAAAATGGTTGTTGTTGGCAGTTCAATGAGAAGTGCAAGTGGGGAGCAAGTTGAAAGTTCAAGCACGAATGCGCAGTCTGCGGGGGATCCCACCCTGCTTCCCGATGCTTCAAGTGCAGAAAGGCAGGAGAGAAACCTGATGCCTTGGGGCAAGGACACCGGTGGACGTTGTCGCAATGCTCCCGTGGTTAAATAGGTATAGGAATCATGAGGCAGTGGCACTGTTACTGAAGGGATTCCGGGATGGGTTTTGGATTCCCCACTGAGGAACCTTTGCTCTGTCTGGGAGTATCCTGAGGTGGAACGGGAGAACCTCATGAAGGAAGTGATGTTAGGGCAAATGGCTGGACCCTTTCAGACACTTCTGTTTCCGCACCTCCGGGTCTCACCCCTTGGGGTAGTCCCCAAAAAGGAAGCGGGCAAGTTCCAACTGATTTACCACCTTTTGTACCCCTATGGGAACTCAGTAAATGACATTTCAGAGGAGCTCTGTAGGGTGTCCTACTTGTTCTTTTACGAGGCGGTCCGAGTAGTGTGGAATGCGGGTCCTGGGGCCCTCATGGCCAAGACGGATGTTGAGGCCACTTTTTGGTTGCTTACTGTATATCGGGAGTGCCATCATCTCTTGGGGTGCTACTGTGATGGTCAATTCTTTGTGGATCTGTGTCTACTGATGGGATGCTTGATTTCGTGCTTCTAGTTTAAGTGTTTTAAGTCCTGCTTCGAAAGGGTAGTGAGTATGAAGTCGGGCTGCGACTTTGTTCTGCATTATTTGAAAAATTTCTTGCGTAGGTCTGGGGAGTTCGGAGAGGTGCGTGCAGCTGCTGTTTTCGGTGCAGTCACTGGAAAAGTCTTTCCGGGTACAATTGGCCCCGGACAAGACCCTGGGAACGACTACATGCTTGAGCTTTCTTGGGATCGAAATTGACTTGGTTGCACGGGGATGTCGTCTCCCGGCG